AAATGTGCGAGTGTAACCCTCTTGCTAGGGTAACCCTAGCACCAGGGTTACCCTCCCTCCATGTAAACAGGGCCTTAAAACCCAAGTCAAATTTAGAAGGATTTGTATGGAGTCATCAGAGCATCACTGGGCTTATCTCAGAGACAATTTGCCTCACAATTCTAGTTTTTGGCAAGTAGGCCTCTTGGATGTTGTTCTTTCAGAATATCCTGATAAATCCCATAATTTCACAAATTTTATTTTTTATGACGTCACACTTTAGAATATGGGGCGCCAAATGTATTTTTATTATTTAGAGTGGTTATTTGTATATAACCCAAACAAGGCTGGTTATTTACAAATAACCATATTACAGTTTTATTATTTTTAAATAACCAAAATATAAAATTGGTTATTTACAAATAACCAAAACTGAAATTTGGTTATTTAGCAAATAACCAAAAATTAAAAAGTGGTTATTTCTAAATAACCAAATGCGAGATTGGTTATTTATCAAATAACCAAAATGCGAGATTGGTTATTTATTAAATAAGCAAAATGCGAAATTGGTTATTTATTAAATAACCAAAATGCGAAATTGGTTATTTATTATTTGGTTATTTAGCAAATAACCAAAAAATAAAAAGTGGTTATTTCTAAATAACCAAATGCGGGATTGGTTATTTCCAAAATGCGAGATTGGTTATTTATTAAATAACCAAAATGCGAAATTGGTTTTGGTTATTTATTAAATAAACTAGACAGTTGGTTATTTAGTAAATAAGACATGGACGATTAAAAATCCAAAACTGTGCAAAAATGGTTATTTAATACAGAAATGGTTATTTTAGCAAGTGGCCATGCACGTGGCCCATTTTCCCGCTCATTTCCCATAACGACTTGCAGACTTCTATTTCCAACATGGCTTCTTCCAAAAACATAGCGATTCCAGTAATTAACGATTTCTCTTTGCGTTACGGGCTGCTATCTTGGATGAGTGTCAAAACTAATCAGGGGGGCAGGGGGCGGTTTGGGAGGAAGCGAGAAAAATAGTCCCTGAGTAGTTTTGACGCTCATCCAAGGTGGCTGCCCGTAACGCAAAGCCTATTATTACTACAGGATTCTCTAATCATCCTGATATTGTGGAATTCTGTAGGTACTTTTGATCATTGGTCAAGCCGATCTTTGCCCAAAGAGATCTCAGGAGCAGGAAAGTAGCATTTTCCTGCGTATCAATTTACTGAAAATGTCCCGAGGAAAACGCTGGAATAGGATTTCCGAGACCCTAAATATAAAAATATAAAAATTTTCTGGGGGAGCATGCCTTTAGATCCTAATAGTTTGGGTCGCCTTCGGCGCTACAACTTTCCTCCCTACTTGCGTGCGAAAGGTTTATTAGAAGATACATCATTATGGGAGCTCTAAAGTGGAACGGATTATGATAGAAATTATGATAACTCGAAAGAATAGATGGGAGCCAATCTTAATTCTCCAGTCAGCAAATGATATGACCAATAAAATTGTAAAAGAAATCGAAAAGAGAGACACTTTATTTGGTATTTCATTCAGTTTTTAGCAAGTACAGAATTGAATCCAGGGATAAAAAGATTTTCACGGGATCAGGGATCAGGATTTGCAACAATTTTGGATCAGGTATCAAAATTTTATGGCCAAAATGAGATCAGTCGGGAAAATATATACCTCGTTAACACCCTGCTTTATAACAAAACAGTGTAAAATACGATACGTTTCACGGAAATGCAAAATTATTTTTGAATATGTGTAATGTCTGAAGATTAAAGGACAAGGGAACAAATTAGTCAGAAATGAATAATGACGGCACGACAATTCGTTGGATAATCTCTGGAATGTCATGAGAACTAACTGAAGTAGATGACGGTAAATGAAGACTAATGGTGGTAGATGTAGGCATATGAAGGTAAAAGAAGGCTAATGAATGTAGGTGACCGTGGATAAAGGCTAATGGGGGTAGATGAAGGGGAATGAAGGCAAAGGTAAATGAAGGCCTATGTAGGTAGATGAAAATTAATGACGAAGGATGAGTGTGAATGAAGGTAAATGAATTAGAATGAAGGTGAATGAAGATTAATGAAAGCGAACGAAGGTATACGGAGGAAAATGAAAGTAAATGAAGGAAAATGAGGGTGGAAGACGGTAAATGAAAGAGAAAAGAGGAAAGTGAAGGAAGTGGAAGAAGCCATGTTGGAAATAGAAGTCTGCAAGTCGTTATGGGAAATGAGCGGGAAAATGGGCCACGTGTTGGCCACGTGGCCACTTGCCAAGACCAAATTAGGTAAATAACCATTTCTGTTTTAAATATCCATTTTTACACATTTTTGGATTTTTAATCGTCCATGTTTGTTTATTTACTACTAAACAAATTGTCCAGTTTGTTTATAAATAACCAATTTTCCATTTGGCCTGCATTTTGGTTATTTAATAAATAACCAATTTCGCATTTTGGTTATTTAATAAATAACCAATTTCGCATTTTGGTTATTTAATAAATAACCAATCTCGCATTTTGGTTATTTAATAAATAACCAATCTTGCATTTGGTTATTTAGAAATAACCACTTTTTAATTTTTGGTTATTTGCTAAATAACCAAATTTCAGTTTTGGTTATTTGTAAATAACCAATTTTATATTTTGGTTGTTTAGAAATAATAAAACTGTAATGTGGTTATTTGTAAATAACCAACATTGTTTTGGTTATATACAAATAACCACTCTAAATAATTAAAATACATTTGGCGCCCCATATTAGAACTCTATTCATCTCACAGAACCCTCATGAGCCTCGATAGCAGCAAGGCTTCCAGTGGGCCGGATGAAATTCCTGGATCCCTACTTAGAAACACAACATCTGAAATAGCACCTTCTCTGTGTAAACTTTTTAATCTGTCCTTGTCGCTGGGTGCAGTTCCTGCAGACTGGAAACGTGCTTCTGTCTCGCCAGTATTTAAAAAGGACGACCCTACCCTACCCTTGGCTGCAAATTATAGACCGATTTCGCTCCTCTGCATCGTTTCCAAAGTTCTGGAGCACTTCATTTTTAACCACTGTTTCCCCTACTTGACTCCTCTTTTCTATCATCTCCAGCATGGTTTCCTGCGAGGTTACTCTACAGTAACGCAACTACTGAAGGTCTACCATGAAATACTGGGCTTTATGGCGGCAGGTTATACATCTTGACCTCTCAAAAGTATTCAACAAGGTGCCGTACTACCTATTAGTGACCAACCTTCAGCAGTATGGCGTGTCAGGCTCCGCCTTACAGTGGTTCTCAAGTTACCTGTCGAACAGATATAAGAGCGTTGTAATGGGATCGATGGTACATGTTGTGACTGGTAACCTGTGACATCCTAGTCACCACAGAGTTTCATTTTGGGCCCTCTACTTTTTCTCATGTATGCAGACGACGTGCCGAGATACATTCAGCATGGGTCTAGCATTGTCCTGTTTGCGAACGACAGCAACCTCTTCCAGCACACTGACTCTGTAAGTTCTGCCGTCCCTTTGCAGGCGGACCTGGAGTGTTTACACTACGTCGACACCGCCAAATGTAAAGTCTTACATATGACCAAGAAGAGATCCTGTCGAAGATCCCCACACAGCTACAGCTCTCTTGGCGTCTGCTACTGAAGTCTCCGACCTTGGGGTGGATGTGACTGGTCAGCTGTCTTGGGACACTCACATTGACGAACTGTTCTCTAAGGGCAACAGAGTTCTCGATCTAGTCAAGCGCGTATGGAGTCAAGACATATCTGACCTTCCAACTAGAAAGCTACTGTGTATGTCGTTAGTTAGACCCAGGGTTAGACCCATGTTATAGTACGCATCTTGCCTTTCGCCTCCTTACTCAATAAAACATCGTGGTGTGTTAGAAAATATTCATCGCCGCACAACTAAGTTAATACTAAATTGTCCTCCCATGGAAGTAGCTTACAAATACAGGCTAGAACAACTTTATTTAATTACCTTGGAGATGCGCAGAGATATGCATGACTTAGTTCTCCTGTTTAAGTTCAAGATTGGGCAAATTTAGATCGATTTTTGGTATTCGAAATTACCACGCTGCAAATTTCCGTCTTCTGTCCTTTCATAACCAGGATTACTTTACTAAGTCGTACTTCCCCAGAATTGTTAGGGCTTGGAATAGTCTCCCTCATTCTATTAAGCATGCTACTAGTGCTCAACAGATTAAAAGTTTTCTACATGCTCACTGTATGACCGGGCTAAGTTCCTATCTGCCACCATAGTTACACCTGTAGCACACTCTTATTGTGCACACCCCTTTTCCCCCTTTATGCACATCTTTTTTTTTCCCGTCCGATATTTGTATTTTTGTCTGATGTTATAGTTTTAGACATCGTAGGGGTTGAAAGTCAATTAGGGCTCCTGTTTGTATGCATGTAATTTCTTTCTTGAGAAATATCAATAAACTAAACTAAACTAAACTGGATGTCAAGACTTATTGTGTACCTTATTTATAGATACTTTTTATTGACTATAGAATTTGAGAGCATTTGTATCCAGACATTGAGGCTATGTAATACCGAGTCAAAGAGAATTCTTTAATCAGGCAAAAATGGAGGACACGGTGGAGGCAACTTTGGATGGAGCAAGGTATACCAATTCATTACTCAATGGGTCCTTCCATTTTCCATTGTCGCCATACACACAATCTTTCACTGTGTAACAGCTTGTAGCACTACAAATAAACATGAAGTCTATAATGTACTTATCCCAAAAGAAAAGTTGTTTGATTGTGAAGGACATACTGCAAAGTTCCTTCATTTCAGTTTTTTCATCTCGCTCTTCTCAGTGATGATACGTCCTACTGTTATTTCGAGTTGGTTTACTTTCCCTTTGTGTTGTACTATAATGTCTCAATGATCCAGGATGCTCAAAGATTGATCAATGAAGGCTTACATGTTTGCAAAATAAATGCACAGGCTGGCTGCTGCTGCTACTGATGACTCCATCACACTGGTGGTTTCCAACGATGGCCCCATGATAACTCTATAATGGCCTTCGCTGGTGTGATGTTGCTGGAGGGACATTAGTACCCACCAAAGAATCTTGAGTTCTTCAGCTTACTAGTGGATAGCTTAGAATCTTTCTGCTACAAGAGAAACCCAATTTTCTCTTTGTTTAAACTTGAATCAGACTCCTCTTTCTTGAGAACCTTTAAGAGTTCTTTGTTCAGCTTTTTTCCGACAGAACGAGCAGTCTAAAAACAAGAGGAAATCCCAAAGTTGAAAAACACCCAGAAAAAGATAGAACAGTTTGAAGGGACTGCTTAAAAGCTCTAATTTAAATGGTCACAATAAGGAATTTAAGCTGCACACAAACTACACTAAGGACAAAACAGTTGACTCGAGATCTTAATCTTAAATGATTAACATAAATATTCTTTACAGCCTAGTCTAGAATTTCTTCTTAAAATGATTTGTTGATGAGTTGCAGAATATACAGTGTGTTGAGTAAATACATCTGCATGTTTAATGCAACCATCAACTGAATATCCCTCATGTCTGACCACAAACAAGACATGTAAAGTCCTGTTGGTTTGAAAAATGAGGTTAACACCCTAAATAACAAAATTCCTTACATGTGCAGGGTTAATAATTTATTTCAGACTTTGCACATGGCGAGGTTCACACAAGGTCTTTCAAAACAAGTATTTTCAGTTTTATGACTGTGTGCAGAAGAGCGTGCCGGCCATCTAAGAACATTGAAGGTCAACCTATACACGCAGGGCTCCTTAACTGGGCAAAGCAAAAGAAAAACAACAACAACAATTTGCTAAGTGCCAATAAGCAATAAACCTGATGTTATTAAAAGTACTTTCTTGCCTCAATCATCTCAAATATGGAGTCAGCATCCAGAGCTCCCTGGCCAACCTTCTGCATGGCACAGATGTTGTTTTCTCCATTTACTGACACCAGGAGCTGAACAAGACTACAGGCTTCCTCTTCAAGACTAGCATCCACAACATGACGATGGCCAATCTAAACACAAAATGACACTACAGTGAAAAATCCCAAAACCTTTCAACTACAGATACTGAAAATCATAAGGTCCAAAACTAGAGCTTGTTTTCCACAGACTACATCATCCCTACAAGAAGAAGTGTTACTTAAACAATGTTGATGAGCTGCAGAATACACATTTTGATAAGTAAAATACGGTAATATCAGCTTGTTTAGTACACGCAGCCATCATGTTAATATCCCTCACGTCTGACCGCCAACAAGACAAGTAAATACTTGCTGGTTTGAAAAATGAGGTTAACACTTAAAGTAAATAAATATTAGTACAGCTGTCTATTATAAATTAACTCCAAAAAGTTAAGATCACAAATATGCCAAAAAAATTTATAGACTGCCAGCAGTCTCTTTTTTTTCTTTTGATTCACAGTACACTGAAAGCACACATGAGGAGTGAGGAAAGAGGGTGGAGGCCCAAGCAAAGTACAACCCAATCTCCACCCCACTATCTTCTCCTTTTTCACCATTAATTTGCATAATTTTCTTCTTTTGCTTGCTGCACATAGCTCTGAGGAAAAAAGGACAACTGCTTGTGGTCAAAACAGTTATTTCAAAAGTAGGTTCAGTTTGATCGTCCGGGTGAATTTAGTCCTAGAAAGAACTGTTGTTGTTGACAGTGACTGACATTTCGACAACCTGTGCGGTAGTCATCTTCAGAGTCAAAGTGAGTTGTATCATGTCAGTTGATGGTATTATACTCTGGTTATTGATCTGACTGGTCAATTACGTCGCGATGATATTGATTGTCTGTCAGTAAAGCCGTGATGTTATTGGCTATGAAGACTCATAATCAGTAATTGGTGCATTTCGATTCGTCTATTGTCACAGTTAAACAGTAGTCTAATGTTAGTCAAATTGTCAGTTATCCAGACTTATTGACGAGATTAAGCAAAACTAACTACAAGAGAGCGACTGGAGAACTGACAATTTGACTAACAATAGACGACTGTTTAACTGTGACAATAGAGGGATCAAAACCTTTCACAGCAAAACAGTTATTATTGATCACTTGAGCAGATTATTATAACAAACACTCCAAGAAGAGTTTCATGTGATGTTCAAACACCTCACGTTCATGGTTCAACCACTTCACTAGTAGACCATTGTTATGGGGGCCAGATTATTTGTACCTCCTGCTTCAAAAAATCCTGTGGTGTTTACCATTCAAATGAATTGAGGACTATCTCTTGCACAGAGATTATTAAGCTACATGTATAACAGTTTTGACCATAACAACTGGTTTTATTCAAATCAATTACCTTGCTCATTGTCACTGTTAAAGGAATTGAAGAAACATCCAACCTTGTGCAGTCATGTGGATCATCTGATATTTCAAGTTCCACCTCTCCTTCTTCTGTCGACACAGCCACATTTGGAATTCTATGTAAAATAATAACAAAATATTGTAGTGAATTCAAGATAGTTTGCTAACAAATGTCTAAATGTCACCATGATGCAACAAACAAAATGCCAATAACAAATAATTATATTTTATTTATAAATTTAAAGGATAACATCATTTTTATACCTGGTATTATAAAGGGCTGCTTTCACTGCCATGGACAGGGAATCAAACAAGTTTCCTCCGCATTCCAACACCTAGAACATATAAAAACACTTGAATAAGCAAGCCATACATGAAGACGACAAGTCTTGCAATTTGTGAGAAAAATCTTAATTTACTTTAGTGTCAGTAAGTAAACAAAAAAATTATTTACTTGGTTTAATTATCAATGTGGTGGAATAACTTAAAAGTACAATGTGATAACATAGTTCTTCAAAAGACGGAGAATTCCTAAAATAAGGAGTGAGCGAGACAGGCCATGTGCAGTGGAGCGAGGTGGATGTGAGTGCCATGCAATGACAATCAAATCCCACTGAACGTAGATCATTCTGAGGCAAAATTGGTGTGTTTAGACACTTAAGAAGACAGCCGGCATTTTGTGATGCCACCACTGGTTTTCCTGCGAAATGGCATCAGAGAAAAGAGTGCAGAAATTCCATACTGATGATGCCAGATCTGGGTAGTGACACATCATAAGTATGGAATTTCTGTGCTCGTTTCTCACACGTCATTTTGCGAGGAAATCAGTGGTGGCTTTGTGAAAAGTTGGCTGTTTCCTCACGCTTGGCACTTCGAAGGTCAATTAACTTGCATGTATAGGACTGTGTTACCATGGAAACAGTAAAGAAATAATTATACTTTTAAACAAGTGGCATCTATTTACTAACATTTCTTAATCACGGCATTAATCATAACATATTATACAATTATTGTCAATTAACAGGCTTGTTTACCAAAGCATCGATATACAAAACCCAACACTGTTTTCCAGGAAGAATACACAGTGAATGCAGATCAATGGCTGATTTATGATTGTATGCTCTCTCTAAAGTTTTTGCGAGCATTGCTCCAAGCTCATCACCTCCTCTTCCTTCAAATTCAGGGGAAGCATTTGCAGAACTTAAGGAGAAAAAGCAACAAGTCAGTACGGAAGCAGAAGCACAGAAGAATGTAAGATCAGCGGGTGGGCTTTACTTTGAAAAGATGAAACTTTTTAAAAACATTATTCTGCATGTAAATCTGACCGATTTTTTGAAAACCAACCTACCAAAATTTGCAGTCATTTAAGTGAAAAGGCGTCGAAAGGCAGGTTTCTTAAGCCCAAGAACGGCTCCAAAATCACGGTAACAAAGGAAAAGGAAAGGAGAAAAAGAATGAGCGAGGAGAAGAAAAAAAAAGCAATGGTTGCACTCTTAGTTTTTATAATGGCTACTTTGGAAATAGTTTGGCCGAAAAAACTGTTGAACGCAAATTTAGGGTCATTTGGTAGTAATGTTATCAAAAATCCAGCTAGAAATATATTCTACATTAATTTTACCTAATAATATTAGAGAATGTTCATGATTTTAGAGTCTTTATGGGCAGGAATTTTCTCAGCTATAGGTCAGTTTAACATGGTAACAACCACTTCTCATAACCACTCTCTGAAAATCTTAATGGGACTAGAAAAAAGAACTTGTATCCAAATGACGATAAACATAGAAATAAAAAACACCTCACCAATCAACAAAAAACTCAACATAGCCCTGGTCAGGTTTCTGTATGCGAGGTTCTCCAATTTCTGCTTTAACTCCAACCAAAACATCAGTTTTAGACTATAACAAAGCAAAGTATTGGACTCCAGACAGACTGCATGTGTGACTTCAATGAAACAAAATTAAAGAGAACTAAGAAAATGTGTGTCTTTTTTTTTAAAGAAAACAAGGCCCCAAGGGTATGTTATGGCTCAGTCAATTCCAAGCGTGCCCATCGTCCCCGGCAGTTGTCATCTTGTAGGTCCTAGTGGAGGGGATATGTCAGAAAACCTCCGCCCTTGGGTGGGGCATTTGTCAATTCTTTTAAAAGCGGTTAAGATTGTTCCTTTTTCAAAATTTCACTTTAAAAAAATATACCTATTTAGATAGCTTTATAAAGAATATTTTTAATACCTATGCTTTAAAAAGATAGGCGTGGTTTTCGCTCCATCACTTCCCTATCCCACAGTATTTTTGCATCCGTCTACGAAANGCGAGGTTCTCCAATTTCTGCTTTAACTCCAACCAAAACATCAGTTTTAGACTATAACAAAGCAAAGTATTGGACTCCAGACAGACTGCATGTGTGACTTCAATGAAACAAAATTAAAGAGAACTAAGAAAATGTGTGTCTTTTTTTTTAAAGAAAACAAGGCCCCAAGGGTATGTTATGGCTCAGTCAATTCCAAGCGTGCCCATCGTCCCCGGCAGTTGTCATCTTGTAGGTCCTAGTGGAGGGGATATGTCAGAAAACCTCCGCCCTTGGGTGGGGCATTTGTCAATTCTTTTAAAAGCGGTTAAGATTGTTCCTTTTTCAAAATTTCACTTTAAAAAAATATACCTATTTAGATAGCTTTATAAAGAATATTTTTAATACCTATGCTTTAAAAAGATAGGCGTGGTTTTCGCTCCATCACTTCCCTATCCCACAGTATTTTTGCATCCGTCTACGAAATTGGTGGGGGTGGGGGGTACATTGAATCCTGCATTTGTTTTTAATGTACCTGTTTGCTGTAAGTGCTACCTGCATCCACCCTTCTTTTTTAAGGATTTGGACGAACCTAAGTGTCCATAAATCCATAAGTATATACCATAGAGAAAGGGGTTAAATGACTTTTGGTCTCTCTGGGGTCAAGAGATTGCCCACAACAAAGAGATGTCTGGTATCGTAATTGACTATGCTGTGTAAATCCTTAAAGTTATGCATGAAATTAAGCTTAAGTTTGGAACGGGCACCATACGCATTTTTGCCTGTCGAACTCCCGGGTCGAACTTAGCAAGGTAAAAAAAAACAGTTACCAATCGAAGTCTCGCAGATCCACTTGTGTTGGAAACAATGCCAGTTTCTACCTCAAAATGTCTGTAATCCTGACAAGACCTTCCATCTGAACGGAAATCTTGTTCAATTCCACCAACAATGTAAGCCCGTTCAAACGTGGACACCGTGGTATCCGCCATGTTGAAGATGCAACCTACATGACGTGGTAACCGGGCACTCTATGTAGCCGCTGTTCACTATTTTTAAGAGAATGTAAACTGACAGAAACGATGTGAAGACAGAAACTTACAAGGAAGTTTGTGAAAAAGACTGAAGAAAGGTTTGATCTTCTGCAAGCTTGCAATCTGGAAACCTAAGCTTTCCGCTCCTTTAGAGACGAGTATGGCAACAGGCGGTTATGGTTCCCGTTCAGACGGTACAGACGAAGATTTCTCCTGCCCTGTTTGTCTGGAAATTCTGGAAAACCCTATCTCGATACCCTGCGGTCACACGTAAGTGTCAGCCATCGAAATCTTGTTGTTTTAACGAAATGAACATAGTTTAACTTAAAATTTAGCATTCGTTCTTTACTGTTATTGAAAAAGTAGCAACTTTGACCCAAGGCAACAAACGGCCCAATGTTGAACTTCCGTCATGCATCGATGTCGAAAGAAACCGGAAGTAACGATCGCCATCATTGTTTAACCTTAGAATAATTTGGAAAACAAAACCCCGAATAAAACTAAAGAAAAAAACAATCATTCGACATGAAAATAACATGAACTTTAAAAACTGCAGTTCCTAAATGCCCAAAATGAAATTAGCTAGTGTATTTGGAAGTAATTTCCTTTTTTCTGTTGAAACTGATATATTTTCTCTCTTTCAAATTCAGATTCTGCCGTGACTGTTTGTCCTCTTGTGAAAGTGCGTCTGGACCATCCACCTGTCCTGTATGTCGAACTAGCTTCAATGCCCGTCAGAAGTTTAATGCTAGAGATATTGAACAGCAGATATATCAAAGCCGTGGTTACTGTTCTGGATGCAACAGACGGGTAACACTGTGTTATGCACCTATCAATGTTAATCTGGATGGGGCTTGGAAGGCCAGGCAAAGGACGGGGATTTGAACGCGAAGCAATTTTTGGCGTCAAATGCCTTACCCTGGGCCATCATACTTGGTCAAAAGAGAACAAATTTGCTACCCCTCCAACTAAAACTAGAGGCCAAATCAGTCAGTGTAAAACGCAGACTGCGGACTGCAGACTGCAGACTGCGGACCAGGGGTAAAATGCAGACTGCGTGTAAAATGCAGACTGCAGACTCAGAGTAAAACGCAGGTTGGGGTAAAATGCAGACCGAGCATAAACTGTCGTCGCGGAAGGGTTTAAGGGAAAAACAATCCCTCAAATACATGTAAACAACACCACTTACACTTACTTGACATCTTCTTTCACAAATCCATTCTCCATCGCTCTGGAACGTCGCCGACGATGCGAAAACATAGTAGTAATTGCAATCTTTAACCTTTTTTCCGTTCGAGAGACCTCACGCTTCAACTTTCGATACAGGTGACCGTGAACTGGTACAACACAACCATGTTTACGCTTAAATAAAAGCTGCTGACCGAAAATAATGTACAGAAAGAATTCAAAAGAATTATGGTGATAAAAAAGGGAGTAAATCATTCCAACAACAAAGGAAGATGTTCTGCAGGAAATTTCGATGACCTTCTATGAAAGGATTGAAAATCAAGGTAAGCAGACTTTAGCTGTTTGGATGTTCATTGAACTTTTGGCGAGAATGTGTAATGTACTTCGACTAGGAAACGAGGTGTGTTACTGATTACCAGCTAGCTATTTGAAGAAGAAGGAGTACAGTCTTCATTCTGCATTTTGCACCCAGCCTGCGTTTTACTCTCAGTCTGCAGTCTGCATTTTACACTCTCTCTGCATTTTACCCCTGGTCGGCAGTCTGCAGTCTGCAGTCTGCAGTCCGCAGTCTGCAGTCCGCAGTCTGCGTTTTACACTGACCGGAGGCCAAATGTGTTTCATTGAAAGGAGCAACATACCAACTTTTTGAGAAAGCTGTATCTATTTATTTTAACAAGTGTTGTTAAAATGCTCTGGTGAAATGCCAGCATCAGGAAGGAATGTTTTCTACCTACACAGTTTAACGAATTTGCAGCTGATAAACAAGCAAATTTACTTGCTTTCAAACGTGGGCAAAACATTTGTATCATGCAGTGGTACTGAATAAGAGCCTAACTTCCTAAAACAGTTAAGTATATGAATGGATGTATTCATTTAGGTAAGAGTAGAGAGGATACCATGTCACACTCTCCTTGGCTGCCATCTTGCACGTGTCCATGAAAAAATACCCACAGATCCTTGCAGGAACAATGGCCACCAATCCCCCTGGTAAAGTAACTGTTAACCAAATGGTGACCAGGTCTTTTACAGCTTCCAATCCAAAATGGCATCTGTAATTGGATGAAATTCAAAAGTCACCACTCCAGGGACTTGGCAATAATCAAAAGTCCCCACCAAGGTCCGACTTCCTCCGTCAAATCCTTGGTCTTTACCCTGCCTTCCCCCACTCCTCCAGATTAACATTCATTCTTGATAGGTGCATTACTTGTCTAAAGTACCCTTGCTTTGTAATGGGCTATTGTATTTAATATCCATCCCCCCCCCCTCTGTTGAGGACTTGCCTCTTCTTCTTACCCCTGAAGATTAAATAAAATAATTATTGCATTCACCCCAGAGGACTTCCACAAAATAGGGGTCTACCCCTTGATGAGTATGGGTCTACCCCTGATGAATTTCATGAAAATTATAGCTTTGCTCTTTCACTAAAGAAATCCTCAATTTTTATAGTTGGTACAGATATTAGGCTGATTTAGCAACAGAATGGGAACGTCATTTAACGACAGGGAAGCGCACGGAAAGGCTAAATTCGACTTCCAAAGTCCAATTTGCCACTCTGCCATTGGCCAAGCCAGTTGTTTGATTTGCGCGTGCCGTTGTCAACTGACGTTCCTGTTCTGTTGCTAAAACAGCCTATTAAAAATGCAATAGCCCAGTTATTTCAACGTAACCCAACAGTAAAGTCACTCAGTTTGGGAAAGTTAGTGTTCTTTTTACAAGTTTATGACAAAAATGATGAAATCTGAGTTCCTAACAAGGAATGGTATTACACCTTCATAGTTATTCATTCCAAATATTTCTCCAACCCTGATTGGCACAAATTCCCTGGCTAATTCTTCATATTAGGTAACCATTGATCAAATTTTAAAGGAGTTTGTGATATCAAATGAAACAACGTCAGTAGTACAGGATATCACCAGAAAAAAACCAATGCAATGGAAAAGCTCAGGGGACAAGGTTGTGTTGGCCCTACTGTTTTGGTAGAGCTGGAGAAAATGAAAATAAAAGTTCTCATGTTTTGCTTAAAAGAAAAAACATAGCAAGAATAGCAAAACTACAACTTGGTGGCTGATGGCAACTGGTATTTGAAAAATATCTGCTAGACTAAATATCTCTGTAATTTTCTGATTTTGCCACTGGAGGGGTTGTTCAGCCTTGGCGCAAAACTCACTCCTTGATCTGCATAATTCTTCAGTTCATGTCATGTTTCATTATTTCAGTTTCCCATGTCCAGATTAAGAGCTCACAGATCTTCATGTTCCAGTTTGTCTACTTTACCTGTTGCAGCCACTCGTCAGCCTTTTCCAGGGTAAGGTGCCAAAATATTCACTAATGAGCTGATTAGGTTGCTTTTCTGTACTTTCGTTTCTTCTGTACTTTCTAAACTCCTGTAAGCAGACACACTTGTACGTACCAAGATCAGTTTCCATAACTAGGAATGTCTCATAGCTTACAGTTATTATCCTTGAACCAGGGTTGTCAAAAGTAGCCGGCTGCTGGCGAAAATCGCCACCTACTTGGTTAGTATCGGCCGCCTACTCTGCGTGGCATTTCTTTACAGATGGCGTTTTTTAAATAAAATATCCCTGGACTGGCCGCTTACTTTGACAACTCAGCCGCCTATTTCAAACCCTGCTGACAACCCTGCTTGAACACGAGGTTAGCAGTATAAAAAATAGATGGCTATGCTTTACATTTTTAAGGCAGGGAAAAATACCACTGTTAGTACTAAAATTACCATTTTTTTGTCCTATCTACTATCAAGACAGAAAAAGCACTGTACCGTAGGACAATGTTTCTTTTGCTCTTTCTGCTCAAGAGAGCTCAGAAACCTAAAAAGACTAAGGCTATTTTCCCACTTTATTGGATAGCTCTTGTGCAGACACAAAAACCACACAAGATAGGGCTCATATCTGTTCACACATGAGATTGGTGATTTTGGTGTGATATCTGTAACTTAGTGGAGCTGTACTTACTGCAGTCTCGAAAGCACATTGTCACATATCGAAGTAGCCTGCGTAGCAAGTGTTTCTGTTTGGTTTCGCAGCAAAGAAAGACCAAGAAACAGGATTTTTGGTTTTGGCCATGCAAGAAATGAAACAAGAGCCAAAAAATGAAAGAAGGGGGAGGGGAGGCCAAACATTTTATTGGTCAATTATGACAGCATCAAATGTCGGTGCACGAACTCAGGCATGACAGGCCAAGTGGGGGGTTTTTAAAATCCCGGGGTTTGTCTGCAAGCATTTCCTTCCTTTCTTCCCCATCTCCTTCCCGCTCTTACATTTTTCACGTGGTCTTTGACTCTGGTTCCTCATTCTTTGCTCCTAAACCGCATGGAAATGCTGGCTACGCGGGCTAATATCGAAGAGGTTTGCCACTCTTTGACACAGTGTCAGCATGTATTCAGATCATAATGGAAGTAAATGAGTGGGAAGGAGGATGGGAAACAAACAAAACAAACAAAACAAACCCTGAAGTGAAAATTCAAAAGTGAGGATTGGGTCTCACAGCAGCAAACCCTCGGCGACTTTGAACTTTGATACAATTCTGTAGAATTCAACTCAAAAAAAATTTACAACATTTAACGAATGAGATGGAGTAAGTGCAATAAAGTTTGAGGCAGCGCGGATTTACTTTTTAAGTGATGTTTTTGTAACCGACGCCATTGTCGTTGCTATTTAAAGCTCCCTATTTTTTTCCAATTCTGTGCTATTTCCACTCATACTGTACAAGATAGCTTTTTATGTTGGCACAAAAAGCTATGGTATAGTATAGATGTAACCTAAATCATACCCTTGATACGTGTCTATCTGCAGAGTTTATATATTAGATGTTGAGGTAGGGTTTTTTAAAGGGCCCATAGATAGAGCTGTCCACTCATTTTCAACCTCTTTTTTGATTATTTATTTTTCAGGGTTGTAAACCGATCAACATTCACCTGCCCCTACTGCTACCAGTCAAATTTAGATAACAAAGGATTATTACAACATGTAAACAACAATCACAAAAATGAACAGCAATCTGTGGTGAGTGACCTCTTTGACATGTTTGGTGTATGAGAAGAAATGAAGATACAGTGTTGTTTGAAAATCGCAAAGAAATTTTCTAAACATTATCCCTCATTTTTCAGGTTTGTCCAATCTGTGCCAACATGCCATGGGGGAATCCCCATCAAAAAAGTGGTGACTTTGTCCAACATCTTAATTTACGTCACAAATTTGAATATGACACATACGTGGTAAGACAACTTTGATCTAGCATTTAGCACCAGTTTATAGTAATTGAGTTTATGTTAGCTCCTGATCTCAATGGGATGTCCTGGGACTCTGAATGCATTGGTTTTGGGTGGGAATTCTAGGACTCTGAAACTTTTTGCCTGAGACATTGGACTGTGTTCATGTCTTACCAAAGAGTATTGATATTTTAGTAAAATCGAACTAGTGGTCTAATATCAATGCTGCATTCTGATTGGTTGGGCTACTACTAGGCTATATGTTATAGCCCACTAGTAGCGCAAAGGGCCGGCTTTTTGGCGGCACAGCTTAAACTAGCTAAAGTTGTTTTGTCTCAATATTTTTGACCAACTAGTTGGATTTTACTAAAACAATAATATTATTCCTCTTGCCCTCATGGCCTTTAAGTCAATAGTCCATTTGGCCTTCCGCGTCATGGGTTATTGACTAAGAGCCCATTCGGGCTCAAGGAAATAATTGTTAATAACTAGACAATCTAATAATCATACCACCTGATACATGGTGAATTCAGAAGGTTTCAAAGTAAAAGTTTAAAGTTTGGAAGTGAAGAGTTGGAAACACAAAGTGTTTGGGCAAGGCTCTCTGAGGCCACCTGAAACGTGTCCATGTACAGTGGAAGCCCACCTTACGGCCACCTCAGTACTACGGTCCCCTCGTTAGTAATATATATAGCCGTACCCCCACCCAGGGGTCTGATATGTCTGTGATTTGCTGGTCTGATTACTGAAGGAATGTCATAATGTTTGATTTTTTCCTCTCACAGGATTTCAGTAGTGATGAAGATGCTGTTCTTCAGCAAGTTCTGGCTCAATCTTTACACGATAATTGAGTGAACATGCTTTAATCTAGACAGTGGTTTCTTGGTGTTGCAGATGGTTGTGATCACCAAATGATGTAATACAAAAAATTGAAAAAACATGGAACGGTACCCATGAACATCACAAAACAAAAGTGAACCAACAACAGTTTCGGCAACACCAAGAAAAACCCATTCAAACGGTTGAGCAAATCATCATAAAATTTATTTATCTTAGTTAAATTTTTTGCACAGTTTCAGTCTTCAAGTTAAGCCTTCGTAGTTGGTGAAGATAAATTTCAGCAGTATTTAATTTTATAATAAATCAAATACAGAAACAACAGTCACTGATAGAAAAATTTGGGAATTATAAACCATTCACAACACTAAATATTATGGATAACTTATTATTTTTTGGCTGGATTGTAATTGCTTAAATAAGGGCTATTTGTTTGGCAAACTAGAAATCAAAACATACATTTCCAAATAAAATATTTAAACAGAAAAATTGGTGTCCCTTATTTGGTTTTACGTTCCATTTTTTACTGAGCTGTACAAAATTTCAGAGATCATTCTAGATAACCTACTACTTTTAAAAAGTTTTGCTTAAGTGTTACAATACATTTTGAGATTAAAGTTCTTACTATTTGAATTCTCTGGCCTGTGATCTTGTTCTCTTCCTCTGGTGTTGTTTTGGTGTTGTGGCAGTAATTTTTGGGAAGGGCATCCCAGACTGTGAACAGAGCTTCTTCAGAGCTTTTTCATAGGCAGTGTTCAATCTAGCTGCCTGCTGAAGAGCGTACTTTAAATCCTCTATAATCCTCTATCTCCTCAAAGAATCCCTGTACAATGCAAAAAACATCAGCCTTAGACTGTGTGTAGATACAGTCAACTCCCGATAATTCGAACCTTCAAGGGAAAGAGAAAACAGTTCGAGTTACCCAGAGTTCGAGTTATCGAGGGTAAAATTATATAGAAAGCGATTTGAAGGGAAATGTAAATTGCTTCGAGTTATTGGAAGGTTCGAGTTAGAGAGGGTTCGAGTTACCGGGATTCAACTGTATTTAGTCCTGTTTCCTTTAGACTGTGCATCAGCTGACACCAAGGAAGTAGACACACCAGAACATTTCCATGTTGATATTTGGGCACAGGTTCTAAGGTCAAATATTTTGACCGTCTATTCTTAATGCTAGTCTCCTTTGCAGCTGTTATTAGGGTTTTCAAGCAATGCTCCTCCTCACTAGCACTGCGAGATGACCCTAATAATGGCTGCGAAGGAGGCTATCTTAACTCTTACCCTATCTAGCATCTTGAGCTCATCTGTAAAGAAAACAATAAACAGATCCATATTAATCCAGGATTTTACTGGTATGAACTTCAATGAAGGCTAACTCTCCAGACTAATTTTTACTGTGGAAAATGTGTTAAGATCTGAGAAGTGTTTTCCTGTGTCAATCCTACCTACAATGAGAAGTTTTTGTTGTATTAAAGTACCTTTGAACTTCTTCCTTTCTTTTGCAAGTCTGTCTCTTTCTTTTGAAACCTTGTGGAGATCAGCCATTAGATCTTGATAGATTGAAATTTAGAAAAAAAGCTTTATGAGAACAATATGTTATAAGTTCATTGCCTTTTTCACTGTGGAGGCTTTGTTGTTTGGCTGTTCCCTTAAACTAGAAACTCTGCTTCATATTCATTTGTCTTTCTCCAACCCTGGATATAAATGGTCTTACAGAAATACTACTGGTAGGCATAACTGAGTGACCCTATAATTGTGGAGCATTCCATCATGGGAAATTATCACTTTAGTAAATAAACTACTGCATGCTAATGCTCCATGTTCCTAAAACTGGGAAAAGGTCTGGTAAATTGGGCAATATGGGCTTGTAATGACATGTACCTCTTATTTTCTTTACCTTCTTCAGGTAGGTGTCAGATGTGTGTATTGTAACCATCAGGGGCCACTTAAGGTGCAAAAATTCTCATTTTGGACATAGCAGATTATGTCTGCCAGTCAGCCCTGTCAAACTCTTTTAACAAAATTGTATATATATTTTAGATTTTCCATTTCTTGGCAGAGTTATTGCAACAGGGCATGAGCCAGTTACTGTACGTGGGCCCATTACATGATCAATCCCAATAACTGGGATTGATCATGATAATTATGTGAAGTGTTATATCCTTCAAAGGAGATATGCAACTAAAATATTGTTATGCATTTCCTACCTCTCTTAGAGGGAGTAAGTCTTTCTTTAATTCCCACTGCATTTATCCTTGTCTGGAGAGCCTCATTCTCTCCCTGTAGGCCTTCTATTGTTCTTTGTGCATTCTGGAGTTTCTTTTCCAAGTCTCTATTTTCAAGCTGTGTGTGCATGAAAATCCGATTCAATATTCTCATGTAGGATGTAAATGGTTATCATCAAATACATGTGTATCAGGTTTATTTGTCACTCACACTTAGAGTTGCAATTTGTTCCACTTGAGCTGTGTTTGTTTTTAGTTCTTTTTGGTACCTCTTCATCAGATTATTATGCATAGACAACATTCTGTTGGAATTATAAATTAAGAAATTAAAGATAAATTAAAACTGAGTGCCCTTTATGGTGTTTTTTATTGAAATTTATCAAAACTGTCATGATCTTGTCTGTTGTAGGGGCATTTTTTCATCTTTGTCTTGAAACTTGGATGTAATTTCCACTTTGAATCCTCACTTTCAGGACTGAGTCATTTTTGTAGCCTGTAACATGGGCAAATCTTTTGTTTGGGTGAGAACTCAGTATCAGCTGTGAATCAAGTTGCAGTCGAAGCAAACTTTTTTAGTCAAGCAAACCTTTTTAGTGTAGTTGTCATTGTATTCTTTTCCTTTTTCAAGGGCTTATACTTTCAACGGCTGGGAAAATCCCCCTCCCTCTAGTTTTAAGGATGATAACTGCACTTTGGATTTCCACCGTAATACTCATTTAGTTGCTTATTGAAGTTTACTTTGGGGGTGGATCCAGGATTTTTCTTACTTAGGAGTGGGTGCACTACTAAGGAACTACCATTTTAACTACAGTGAAAACTCTATTAAGTGGACCCCCAATTCAGCAGACACCCTCTATTAAGCGGACACTAAACCTGGTCCCGAAATTAACGTCTGATATATTTCCCTTTATAACAAACCCCTATTCAGCGGACACCTCTATTAAGCGGCACGGACCCTAGAAAAAGTTGTATTTGGCTAATTTCTATTGTTAAAAACCTCTATTAAGCGGACATTGGGCTGAATTGAAAATAGTTGTATTGGATCACGTCCTTGAAATACGTACTGAAGTCAGTTAATGTTTTTGCATTTAAAAACAAATTAAAGTTAGTAATGAAAGGTAATGAATTTGAACTCGGAATAGCTTCTTTAACAACATGCAACTTTATCACAGTACAGAGTAACTGTTGAATGTTGATCATTAACAAAAATTGCACAATTTTTACAACCTCTATTACATGTAAGCGGACACTTGGGAAGGTCCCGAAGGTGTCCACTTAATAGAGGTTTCATTGCAGTGTACCATGTTTATGGCATTTAGCATAAATTCTTCAACTTCGTCTCATGTGTTACTTCAACACCAATAAACCACATTTTTTTTTGCAGAATACCAATTGTATTAGAAAACCGCAGGTCATCTCAGGGAGGGGGGTGTGTGTGCACCCCCTACACCCTCCCCTAAATCCGCCCCTGTACTTAGTCATTTTATTTTATTGATTCAAACTAACTTGGCTGTACTTTCAAACTGTTCATCAACTGCTTTTCTTCCTCTGTTGCTGTTTGGATTCAGTTGCATGGCTGAACCAGACTGAACCCTCCTCACTATGCCAGCTGTTCTTGGGTGTCTGTCATCAGTTTGAACTTGAACACTTTGGAAAGAAAATGTCAGAATCTGTGCAAAAAACTTAAAATTTTATCAGAACAAATCCCTTACCCCTCCAATGTATACAAAAAACAACGTGATAAAAAGTATATTGCAAATTAAACGAAATGGCCTCCAACGTAGCTACAACGACTACTGGTATTTGTAATTTAAAAATAACCTCAAGTCAAGAAAAAGGGCCCGCTGTAATTGGCCACAGCTGTTGCGGTGTCCCTACCAACGTTCTTTCTGTTTGTTTGTTTGTTTGTTTGTTTTTTGGCGAGGCCAGTAAAATAAAATAAAATAAAATAAGTTACCTTCTTGTTAAAGTCTGCATGAATTCGTTGTTCCGAAATTGTTCTTTCAGTTCGTTTAGTTCCCTCTCTAACTGGCCATTACGCTTTGCAAGCTTCTTGTATTTCTTTTTGATGCGAACATTTTCCGAAGAGAGCTGAAAAAGAACTGTCTAGCTACAGCCCATAAATGTCGAACTCTTTTGATCACAGCTGTTTATTAGCTAGCAGAAGCATTTTATAATTAATTATTATATAAAATAAAAATTGGCTAATTAGATAAAATAAACCAACACTATGAGAATAACATTATACTTACATATAAGCAGTTATGAATATCAGGCATTGACATAGTGTTTAAACTTAAAAAATCTCCACAAACATTTCCTCAAGAAAATTTAAAATTGGCCGCCATTATTGTTTTTGTTCGGAAAACCGCTGGCTATTATAGGTGAAAGGAAGTCATATGCGCCCGCGATTAACATTGATCTGCAGTTACCCAATCCTATTTTATCGATGTTTTATCTGTTGTTCTCATGTTTCTGTACCTGATTACAGTATGATTTTGCACGTTTTAAAAACAGGATTCGGAAAAGGGACTGTTTTAAGCCACCCCTGTTATCAAGATAATTTTTTTGCCCGACCTCACCGTCTCTTACAAGCTCTTGACGTAAATTAATATTTCATCATAAATATCACGCAAGGGACTTACGTCTCGGAATTACACGTACGTGTTAAAAATGCGTGGAGATATCGTTCTTTCTGCCTATTTTCTGTCACTTTCTATTATTTTTGGAAATTCCATGACAGAGGATGAAATCGAAAAATACAGGTACGTAAGAAATAAATCTACTGATCACTCCATTAGCGCGCCTCCTGTTTGATCAAGTTCTATTTAAAAAGTCTCCTAATGGGTAAAACTAATATTTGAACAATTATGAACTAATAACTAAAAATTACATTGTCGCTTTTTGACGTTTTTTAAAACCTCTTAATAGACATTCGTTGCGGGAAAAATGGATCGAGAATGTATCTTAGTTCCACAAAGGGGAACAGCTGTTTTGCTTTATACAAGAAAATACAATAATGTATGTTGAGTTTGAGGTAAATACCCAGCTACAAGCAGCCTTAACAAGAACAATAAAGCATAAGTATATACCACTCAGGTGTACTGTGCTCTTTGCGCCGTAATTGTTCAGCTGGGAGGTGAAAATAATTTTTTGTTCACTCCTGAGCAACCATTCCCCCCTAGTGCAAAGAAGCATCACACAAGATTTGGGTCATTTGTATGGAATTACCAGAGAGGGATGTAAGGTTGAATCTGCATGGTGCAGCCAGCACCTCATAAGCAACCTACTACCTAAGCAACCTGGAATTTTTAGATGGGATTAATTTGCATTTGTCTACAGGTGTAAGTGGGTAAATAGTTTAGGGTGAGGGTTCAAGGCTGTGCTCTTAGGAAAATTTCAGGGAGCCCTTGCGCTCCCAAGCATTTTAGCTAAGGTACCCTGACCTCAAAGTTGGTCACCCGAGTACATCTGATGAAGAAATGTTTTGTACGCACACTCATTTTACTGCTTGCTGAGCACAGAACTCAGTAATTCTAGCTTTTGGGTGTGACAAAAACCGTCATGCTGTCCTATGAAACCCATTAAAGTTTTCATGCCATTCAGATTTAAAACGAGAAACGTGAGCGATACTGCCGAATTGTTCAGGTTTCAAAGAGGGAGAAGTAAAGATTTCAGCAGACTCATGTAATTTTCATAAAGATGTCTGGGTCAAACAAAGGAAAACTGTGCTTTTTACCAGTAATACTGAAGTTGAAAATGAATTTCAAAAAGTGAATCAATGTGGCGAGAGTGCCAGGCCGGGCGACCAGGAATTTTTTCACTCACCTGAAGCTAAATGTTATTTGCCTCAGGCAACCAGGTGCCGTTAGAGCACAGCCTTGCCTGGTTCAAGTTACGAGACCTTTAGACACCTGTGCAAAAATTGAAAATTTTAAATACCTCTGACCTTGGTATTTAGCTTCCACCTTATTGGGCCAATAGTCATGCAAAAGCAAACGTATTAGGCAGCAGGGGCTACCACGCTCTGGTAAAGCACAGTCCTAGCATATACTGACATAAATTATAAACTTAGGATAACATTAAACCACAACCAGCAGTTGCCAATTCATATCTTTGAGTAGAAGAGGGGGACGAAATTTCACTAAGAGGTAGGACTGGCGTTAAAAATGCTTTTTCTTGGACCCAATCCCCTAGGTTCCCTACTAACCAATACTAAGAGTGTTGTTTTTCATTTTATTTAGACAGAAGACAAAAGCTATGTTTTATCATGGCTATGATAGTTATCTCCAATATGCCTACCCTTATGATGAATTAAAGCCGCTTTCTTGCAGTGGTCACGACACTTGGGGAAGGTAAGAAGTTTGGTCAACCTTATAAATGCACTAGTCGGCTAAAAACTCAATACCACCAAATCAAGGGAAAGGAGAGGATTACAACAGGTTTTCACTGCCTCGATTTTTGTGATGTTAACCACATTAGAATATTATTATTACAAAACATGAGCCCCTGCAGTACTCATTCTGAGATTTGGATTCATCTGACGCCATCAGGGTTCAGCGATAAGGCGCGTTAAGTGCCACAAATATTGATATAATTTGTCAGTGTTGGTATGTGTAGAGAAAATAAAAGGGGTCAAAACTGTGTTTCTTGAGGTCCCAAAAATACTGTTTGTATAACAGGTAATTAAAATGCTCTTTTACTGGTCTTGGTCGTGTACCCCTGTAACTATATCCTTTGGTACAAGGTATGGAGATTTCCAACCGCCCCTTTACTCATTTGGCCCAATTTTCTTGACTTAAAATGAATAAAACATCTTTTTTATGCTCTTTAGTTATTCCTTGACCTTGATAGATGCCCTGGACACCTTACTGGTAAGCATTGGTGGGGACATGCCAGTAATATTTTAATTTATTATTATTTCATGTGTGGCAATTTAAGGTTGCCTTGGCAGCATATAGCTAAGATTTCAATAAAAAATGTTTATTCTTTTTATTCAAATGCCACCTGTATTTGAATTTACGATCACGCCTCAAATTTGTCTTCTTTGCTTCATGGCTGAGTAATCTCAATGTGCTAAAGTAGCCGTTTACCAGTCACAGTTTCTGTTGTTGTGAACAGTGTCGTGTGTTTTCCTGGTAATTAGCACTAGTCTCGATACATTGGGTCACTTGGAGTTTAGTTGTAGAGGAAAATCTCTGACAGATCTTTGCCTGCTCTTACTGCCTTGCATTGGCCTTCCTTGGTTTGGTTTTTCCAATAAACTAAATTGCTGTCATCAGGGTTGTGTTGTTGTTTTCTTTGTGGACTCATGCAGTCACACATAATGTTTT